GGCTGGGGGAAATAGGACATAAAATGTATGGGCACCCTTTCCAGCTGATCCACTAACATTACTTGTTTGAAGGTCATTGAATGGAATTGATGTGTTGAACCTTAGTTCAAGTCAGGTGAAGACAGAAATTAAACTAAACCTGTGGCCAGGCAATACACATTTCTAACATTTACATACTCTTAACAAGCCCTCACTGACCTTTAGCTGCAGACACTGTGGAGCAATTCATGCTCTAATTTTACAGCAGAAGCACTAAAGTTAAGCTCCCCTGCTTTTATTTCCCAGAACTCCTGTTCTGGATTTACATGAAAGATTAGGAATCTGATTGTGTTGACCATCTTCACCTCATTGAACAGTCATAGTTTGAGAGTGGGAAGCTTGGAGAACAGAAAATCACTGCATGCTGATGACCTTGTACTTTGTCTAGCAGTCCCAGGTCCATAAGATATTATGTATACCTTCACAACTTACATACTTCGGTCTAATCCCTAAATCTCAACTGATAATTAGTCCTCATATCTGAACCCCTTTCTAGTATTCCTTAAAAATAAATTGACAGGGATGGAAGAACTCACCCTTGTGAGAATGATTAGCTTAATTAGGTAAGGTAATAACCTCATTATGAAGATCTTATCTGTATTTGTTTATTTTCTTGGCAATGCCTCTATGTGGCTTTCAAAACGTTTATGTAAGTGTACTGACACACTGGTTCCATCAGTTTATGGTGTTACTCTACCAAAGAGTTAAGAAAAAAAATCCTAGAGATACCAAAGGGGGCTGGCCCTGTTGTATTTCAGGAAATACTGCCTAGTAGGTCAAATTATGCTTGCTTACTGATGGTTAATTAAGGAGGCTAATGATAATGATACTGCAGCAATTATGGAGGCAGCACAACTGTGTTCCTTTGATTCATTACAGAAAGTTTTATAGAAGAAGTTTCTAGCTCCTTTTGATCTCACAATGTATATGAAAGCCACCAAAACTTACAGGCACTTTACCCTTTTGATACTGGAGAAAATTTCCCTACACTACCCTATGAAGAAATCCTTCTTTCTCTCATTTCCAAACTGTCCCTGATCCAGTATGTAGTATCCACTAGGTGGGGCTGGTGTAAGGTAAATGTATTTTTGGCTCATGGTAGTAAGTGAGTCTGAATTTACTGTGGGTTCAATGTGAGATCAGGCTGGGTGACTGAGAAGGTTGGAACTCTTTTGCCTCCACCTGCTTTGGAGGCCAAAGGAAGCTTCCAGAAGCCAGTGAGCAGAAGGGTGGAGATCTCAATATGCATATTCATGGGAGTTTGAACAATCCCAGGCTAAGAGGTCCTGGTAGTGTGGTAGACCAGCCCATAAGTATGAAGGAGCCATGCTAGAAGAGGTTAGAGTCGAGAGCTGGGAGGAAGATGGATTGAGGAAAGTGCTGGTGTGGATCCTGGGAGGGGGCCCTGGTGAAAGAGGGTTTACCTACAGGCTGGGAGCTTGAAAGAGGGACCTCCACTGTTCTACAGTTCACCAGGGAAGGACAGCCTGTCAGCAGGGGAAATAGCCAGCCCAGCATAAGGCCTGAAAACAGTTTCAACTTTAAAGCTACAGGAACAAGACAGCGTGGGTACCTTCACACTCCCGGGGCCTACAAGGGACAGGTCAGTCAGCTGTCATATCCAACTAGTTCTCACTGGGACAGTATACTTATGTGTCTTGGAATCCCTTGCCCTGGGATACTTTTCATGACAGCCAGATGGATGAGAATTTTTTATCTGGGGTCTGAAGAGATTCACCTAAGGTGACTGATTGTTCTTAGTAAGGACTGTGTGCTGATCCGTTAAGAGACAAAAGCCACTCTAGAGTTAGTAGAAATTCCATGATCTAATGTTCGCTTTTTGTTCATAGGAAGTTTTGTCCTCCAAGTTGTTTCAGTTCCAATGGGCATCCCACATACCCCTAGGCTCTATCCAAACTGTTTAACCTTTAATAAAACAAACAAAACAAAGCTCATGGACTGATCACTGACTTTAGATGCAAGAGTAGAAAATGCATGTTGCTTGGCTGTGCAGGAAAATAGGGGGACCCAAGACCAATTTTCAAGAGGGTAGTGCTAAAAGTAGTATGGGCATCATAGGTTACTAAAACTATCCCTGTTCCAGCACTGTAGACATCAAGGAGGATTAATGGAGAAGTAAAACCAAAGCTCTTTTGGCTCTACTTCTCCTGTGAATCACAAGAGCACAGTTCGTTCTGCACTCCTGTGACTGGTTTTCAGCTGACAGTAGGCTGAAGTCTGCTGTCCGCTGATGTCACTTAGCCAAACCAGGCGGGAGAAAGATCCTGGCTTCAAAGTCAGGAGCCACCACAGAGTCTGCAGCAGCACCTGGCTCAGCCTCTCAGCTGACCCAGCAGGGGACAGCTTCAGCATCGGACCAATGCTGTATCCACCTATGTAAGTATAATAGGGGGAAACAAAACAATACTTCTCTTTTAAAACTATGGGAATATCTTCATGATAACAATTTTGGCTCATCTGACTACATCAAAAGAAAATTTCTGCTCCCAAACAAAATTGCCTTTGGATATCTTTAACTCTGGCATCTTTGTCTTGCACAATTTGGATCCTTGGAGGTGAAAGCCTTTCCAGACCTCTATCCAATGTCTATCAGTTGTTATTTCCTGATACAAACCAGTTGCTCTCAATGTGCATAAATTAATGATTGATGAATGCTTTAATGTTGGACCAGGATGAATAGGAGCATATTTGTGTTTTACAACCTTTATATTGTCCAAAGATCGCTTGATTCATTTCAGATTTGTCCATAGAGAATACCTTTTTCCAGTTAGGACAGCTAGATTCCTTTCAGATAACTAATCAACTTGTTTGCACTGCGTAGGGGTGACAAGATTATTTTATACACATTTTATGAACTTGAAAGCATTATTACTACTTCAGCAGGTAGTACTTTGTTGAGCCTTCTTCACTTATATACATCAGAAACACAATCATATTCAAATAGAAATTATGCAAAATCCTTCAAACTTACCTTAATGTAAATCACTGAAAAAAAGACTGCTAGCTCAACTCCCTACATACCAAATAATATATGGACTGATTAGGTGTAATGCCCACAAGAGTGCATCTAGTGTCCCATACATCCATTTCTCTTACACTCTTGTGCATTTAGGTAGCTTCCAGATCATAACCCTGCCTTATGGTAGGTGAAATTTTGACAAATGGGTAGGGGTGAGAATATATACATGTCCACTCAAATTAAATCCATTAAAGAACTATCAGAAGGGTGTGTACTTTGATTCTTGATGTTTATAGGAGCTTATACTAGATATATAGAAGAACTGGCTATGAATATTGCATCATATTCCGATGTAGTTTTTAACTGCAAGTGGTACCTGTGTGGTAGGCTGGGCTTAGTACAAGGCCTTTTGTGGTTGATTGTTCTCTCTGCACATCACATATTGAGTAGCATGGTGTATATTAGACTATGCAAAAAAAAATGTAATGAAAGGAATTTACTAAAAAAATTGAGAAGGGAAAGCATGGTGAGTTCCCAGGTAAAATTACTTTTTCTGGATGACTGAGGAAACTCAAAGAGTAGTGAACTAGAAACCATATTTCTAACAACACATGATCATTTCTATGTACTGTATATAGTTTCACTTCTTTTTAAACCACTCTGTAAACCGCCAAGTGGTAAGAGGGACATTAGAAACTCAGATCCAAAATTTACCCTGGATTCTCTTTCTTTTGCTTTCATTGATGTGGCCAGGTGGGAACAGTATTGCTTGTGTGGTGGACTTGCTATAACTATGGTTAATACCACCAGGATAGCCCTCCTAAATGATTCAGTTGGCAAACTTTCTAAACATACTCAAACTTTGATTTATTCTATGTTTCTATTGGCTAGGATAATGATAGCCACATTGTGGAAGGGCAGGGTGGCTGATCTATCATTGATGAAGTGCAAACTAAACTGGATAATGCTTAACAAAAAATGGTTAGTGATATGTGAGACAAACAATGGCCATTTTATAAGGTCTGGAACCCCTGGATTTCATACTTACAACTACGGTCTGGTAACAACAAACTTGTTGGGTTGGCAGAAATGGTCCTTTGAACAGCCACTCTCTTTCACCATCTTCCCTAGCTTATTCCCTATCCTCCTTTCTATACATTCTTCTCCTTCTTCTTGTTAACATTACTATATTCTATATTTTAAATCCTGTGCTCAAACTCATATGCTATTGAGAGGTTATATATGCAATTTTTGTTCTCATAGATCTTTATGTTAATACCTTTTCTATAAAAGGTGGATATTCTCGTAGTTGTTCAGAGTGGTTTTCTTGTACTGTAATACTACAGTTGACGTTTTTATCTCTATTCTTGGAATGTAATTCAGGATATATTGTATGGATTATCGTTTAGAAAAAGCTATTGTCTACTGATTGCTGTTCTCTTATTGATTGTATGCTGTATAAGAATTTATTATTGAGTGCATGCTCTGGTATCTTTTTTATTCTGTATTTTGTGAAAAATCAGTAAACATTACTGAAATAGAAAATCAGATCGCTAACGGAGAAAGACAGTTGGTGCCCGTGGTCACGTTACATGGCTTTTAAAACTCAAAAAATAATGTCACTTTGTCTTTTCTTTTATTAATCCTGATATCCTCCCTTACTTGCGCTTCTATGTATGTGTGGAAAAGGGTTCATTCACTTCTTTTCCAAATAAGGATAATGTGACTTTCCAATAAGTCAAGGTGTCTCAAAAGCTCACTAGCATTTTTATTATGAAAATATAAATGAAATGTATTTTATTCATATACTTTTAGGAGACCAAATTAATGTGCCAGATCCACATTTTATGCAAATATATACTTAATTCATACTCTTTTAGGAGACAACAGAAAGTAATGAACATTGACTACATCCTAAAGAGCTACAAATGAACAGAAACATTCTACTACTTACATTACTGGTTGTGTTAAACTGGATCATTTGGTTTGCCATACTCATAATCTGAGTGGATGATATGATATTCGCAACATCCAGCTGTAAAGAGTCAAGATGATGATCAAACATTTATAAAAGATATCAGCTTCAAACGGGGCCGAGTAACGACCTTGAAAATGTACATCCTGCCCAAAATCTTATATATATTTCACACACTTCCCATACTAATCCCCAATACCTTTTCTCCAAACTACAATCAATTCTCGCCAAATTTTTATGGAATTCTAAAAAGCCTAGGTGTACTAATAATCTCCTGATATGCTCAACAGGCGCAGGTCTCCCCCCCCCTAAAATCCTACTATAATGCTACTCTTCTTGATCAAATATATTTTTGATGGAACCCAAGAGAAAAAAATCTGGTCCACAAACAATGGAAACCCTCCCATTTCTTCCACTTAAATCCCAAAATTTATTCCTAATACCATCAACACCCCGAACAGACTACCAGTTGAAACACCCATGTATCCAAGCCGCTTTACAAGCCTGGTATGATCTTCTAACCACAGAATACACTGACACCAAACAAATCCTTACCCCAATTAACATACTACATCTCATTTCACCCTCTCTGGAACTATCCCAATGGAAAAAACGAGACCTCTATATAGGCCACACTCTAAATTAATTTCAAAATCTCCAAACCAAATTTAATCTCCCTACCACTGAATACTACTTAAGAATCGCTCATTGCATACAAACAAAAAATATATCCCATACCACAAAGATCCCAAATACCGCCTATGATTTCTTTACCAAACCACAATACCCAGGTAAGGGTATTTCCACTTTCTACACGTATATAACTAACTTACAATTCACTCTAAAACCTACATCCCTAACTAACTGGGAAAAAACCCTTTCAGAACCAATTACGACACAGGCATGGGAAAAAGCATTTAACACCACTCACAAATATTCCCGATATAGTTAACACTGGGAATCATACTTAAAAATCCTTCACCAATGGTACCTAACCCTGGCAAACTAGCCATTTACTACCCAAAAAACTCTGCTTCTTGCTGGTGACAATGTGAAGATGTAGGGTCAACATTACATATACTATGGTCAATTAGATCCTTTTGGAACAGTGTCTTCCAATTAACCTCCGAACTATCCAAAACATCGATAACACCAAACCTTTCACTTGCACATACACATTGGGATTGAAAAATTCCCCCATAACTCCCATCCATACTATCATTGTTCATACCCTTTTCGCAACCAAAATTAATATAGCCAGATTATGGAACACTACCACTGCTCCTTCCCTCAAGTCATTGATCACGGATCTTAATTTCCAATGTCAAATGGAAAAAAGATCCGCCTTTAAGAACTCCACCCAACACAAATTCAAACCCCAATGGACTCGCTGGTTACATAACCCTAACTGCTCAGTACATTGCTGATAACCTAAATACAACTTGAGTTGCCCACCAACTCTAGACTAGTACTCTTTCTTCCACCTCGTTACATACCCCTCCCCCTCCCTACCCCCTTTCCCACCCCCCCCTTGTTCAATACCCCTTCACCATCCCATACACCTTGCCAAGATTCAACACATATCAAAGAATACCTCTGATGTTAATGTTTTATATAAAAGATATCAGAAATCTAACTAAGGCTGAGTTACTAAACAAAAATCTTCACACTAAGCTGTATGAAGAGTCACTTAAAATATCCCATCATATGCAGATAAAATACGTAAAGCGAAATTTGCTTTACACATGATTAGATATTTAAAGTGAATATTCACACAAATTATTGTGTAAAGATTGTCACCCATTTTAGCAAATCAGCCTCATTATGTTCATTATGTATATTATGTATAAGATGTATGTTAAAGCTGAATTCCAGGTATGGTTTGTATTGCATAGTTACATTGGTCAGGCTTGGACCAATGTAAATATGCATATTCTATACCTGTGGGATCACTGTGGAGTTGGAAATCGTGGTAGTAGCTGCCACTGTAACAGTGATTGCTGCTATCTTCCAGGTACATTTTCAATCAGCTGCCCTGCTGCATATTAACCATAGGGGGTCACTTGCCACATACTGCATATTAACCACAGGGGACTATATGATCACCATTCAAAGAACGCTTTGCATTTTTATCAATGAATTCCAATATTCTTGTGGAGAGGTGGGGCAGTGACATCACAGCTTGACCAATAATCTAATCAGAGAACACTCTGGATTCAAAATACAAGGGTGTTAATTTACTAACACCGGGGAGCACAAAATTTGGTGCAGCTGTGCATGGTTGCCAATCAGCTTCTAATTTCAGCCTGTTCAATAAAGCTTTGAAAAAACAATGGAAACTGCTTTCTATGCAGAGCTGCACCAGTTTTTGCACTCTCCAGTTTTATTAAATCAACTCCAAGGTGTTCTCTGAACTGTGACTAGCATGGGATCCAGAAGATTGCAGCCATCACTGTAGTAGTGGTTACTGCCACAGCTATTCTCTGCTTCCACAGCAGTCCCACAGGTATGGATTACATAAGCTGGAGCAATGTAACCTAGAAAATACAAACCATACTTGGAATTCAGCTTTAATGCAAAAATGTTAAAGCTTTGAATAGAGTATAGAATGGTTAAGGTCCCTGTCAGTTTTTTTTATTGTCTGTGTCCCATCAGGATGATTTATATTTACTTCCTTTTCTAGAGACACAGCAAGAAGTAAGAGTAGATCTCGTCAAAATCAATGGATTAGCCCTGTTAGACAGTTCTCACCACAGCAGGTGTACGGTTTTGGGTTTCCCATCACTTTCTGTACCTGAGACAGTGGTCACCAGGACCAATAATGAGGGCGAATCTCCCCAGTGGGGACATAGGCAGCAATAAAAAAAAAAACAGACAGAGGTTCTAAACCTCCCATGTTCTATACAAAACTAAATAATAACTTTTGGCTTTGTGTAAAAAAATATTTACACACTTGATTGAATTGTAGTGTTACACACTTCTCTTAGCACTGACCTTTTGTTATTGCTTATCAATGCACACTGAACCACCAATAATTTTCTGAGAGGGTAAGCCAAAAGGAATCAAAAAGACAGCCACTCAAAATCTTTTGAAGAAATAGTATTTACATGTCATCACCTGTTGTCCCACATTTAAAAGATAGCAGGCAGAAGTCTTCCAAGACATGCAGATAAGTTCTCTATGGTTAAAGTGGAACTAAACCCATTGATTTAATAGGTTCCTAAAACAGTTACATTCCAGGCATGATGTGAATGATAACTGTCATAATTGCCTGTGCTGTCAACCAAACTGTCAAGCCATCAAATGAGTGATATCATAGCTGATCAAATGTGTAGCACTTTGGCAACTTCAGATCAAATAGAAGCTAAGATGGCTATACAGTGCCTTGAAAAAGTATTCATACCCCTTGAACGTTTCCACATTTTGTCATGTTACAACCAAAAATGTAAATGTATTTTATTGGGATTTTATGTGACAGACCAACACAAAGTGGCACATTATTGTGAAGTGGAAAGAAAATGATAAACGGTTTTAAAATTTTTTTACAAATAAATATCTGAAAAGTGTGTCATGCATTTGTATTCAGCCCCTTTACTCTGATACCCCTAACTAAAATTTAGTGGAACCAAATGCCTTCAGAAGTCACCTGTCACGTACCTGATAGGAGACTGAATTGACGAGGTCGGCCTCACTTGCGTCACTAGCCCTGACCCCGCTGAGGTTGGAACAGAGGGAGTCTAGGGACCAGGGGGACAAGAGCGCCAGAGGTTTGCTTGCGGCTCTTGCAGATGATGACCTTGGTAGGCAGGAAATCCTCTGATTTGGATACTGTAGAAATGGACCAGGCAGGTACAGTGGATTGGCAGATGCACAGCAGCGCCAGTTATGTAGCCAGGACACAGGACTGGAGCGGAGTTGTAGAATAGCCAAGGTCATAACAGTCGGGCAGCGCGGTACAGGATCAGAAGGAAAAAGCCAAAGTCAGGATCAGAGCCGAAGTCAGGAACCGGGGGGCAGGAGAGTACTCAGAGTCGGGTCAGGAACAAGCCAGGTCAGCACCAAAGGAATCGCACAGGAACAAGCAGGACACAGGGGGGAGCTGAAGACCAGTCAGCACTGAATCTAGGCAGAGGCGCATCTTAAATAGCCCATCTGGCGCCAACCTTCGCCGTGCATGTGCACGTGTGCGTGCATGTGCGCGATCGTGCATTCCTGCGCACAACCGGCAATTCTTCTGCGGGACCTCTTTCGCGCATGCGCGTTCCCGATCGCGATTCTTCTTGCCGGAAATCCCTTACATCACCTAATTAGTATACAGAGTCCACCTGTGCGTAATTTAATCTCAGTATAAATAAAGATGTTGTGTGAAGCCCTCAGAGGTTTGTTAGAGAACATTAGTGAACAAACAGCATCATGAAGGCCAAGGAACACAACAGACAGGTCAGGGATAAAGTTGTGGAAAAGTGTAAAGCAGGGTTAGGTTATAAAAAAATATCCCAAGCTTTGAACATCTCACGGAGCACTGTTTAATCCATCATCCAAAAATGGAAAGAATATGGCACAGCTGCAAATCCACCAAGACATGGCCGTCCACCTAAACTGACAGGCCAGGCAAGGAGAGCATTAATCAGAGAAGCAGCCAAGACGCCATTGTAACTCTGGAGGAGCTGCAGAGATGCACAGCTCAGGTGGGAGAATCTGTCCACAGGACAACTATTAGTTGTACACTCCACAAATCTGGCCTTTATGGAAGAGTGATGAGAAGAAAGCTATTGTTGAATGAAAGCCATAAGAAAGTTTGCAGTTTGTGAGAAGCCATATGGGGGACACAGCAAACATGTGGAAGAAGGTGCTCTGGACAGATGAGACCAAAATCTAACTTTTTGGCCTAAAAGAAAAACGCTATGTGTGGTGGAAAACTAACACTGCACATCACCTTGAACACACCATCCCCACTGTGAAACATGGTGGTGGCAGCATTATTTTGTGGCAATGCTTTTCTTCAGCAGGGACAGGGAAGCTGGTCAGAGTTGATGGGAAGATGGATGGAGCCAAATACATGGTAATCTTAGAAGAAAACCTGTTAGAGTCTGCAATAGACTTGAGACTGGGGGCCGAGATTCATCTTCCATCAGGACAGCGACCCTAAACATACAGCCAGAGCTACAATGGAATGGTTTAGATCAAAGCATAATGACCCAGTTAAAGTCTAGACCGAAATCAAATTGAGAATCTGTGGCAAGTCTTGAAAATTGCTGTTCACAGACACTCTCCATCCAATCTGACAGAACGTGAGCTAATATGCAAAGAAGAATGGGCAAACATTTAAATCTCTAGATGTGCAAAGCTGGTAGAGACATCCCCCAAAAAACTTGCAGTTGTAATTGCAGCAAAAGGTGGTTCTACTAAGCATTGACTCAGTGGGGCTGAATACCTATGCATGCCACACTTTTCAGATATTTATTTGTAAAAAATTTTGAAAAACTAATAATCATTTTCCTTCTACTTCAAAATTATGTGCCACTTTGTGTTGGTCTATCACATAAAATCCCAAAGCAGAGAATGTTACGCTCTGCGTTAAGATCTCACTAGACTTCAGATTTCCCATCAATGTATACCACCTACACCTAGCAACTGACAAGGAAGCTGTGCTGTATACTTCTCTGATTTGCTACTAAGTAACTAACAATTAAACTTACCTCAGCAGATGAGACAATGTGGTATCTCATAAGTTCTAAAAGTTTCCAAGACCCCTGTTTAAGTACAAAGAAAAGTGGAAAAAAAGAATTTATGTAAATAATACTGTATGGACTGAAGAGTGCTAATGTTTGAATTTGTGAAGTATTGGATTTGCCATCAGCATTATAGTCATATTGTGAAATGATTGTGTGTTTTTAGGCATTGCCCAATAGCATTCAATAGCTGACTGCTGTCGGAGGAAGAACTCATGAATAGGAACAGATTTTCCCTGATCACTTTTGCTTTTCTTTGAGACAAAATCATGCTCTCCCCCTCCCACATCCACAAAAATAAACACAGATGTGCACACAGATAAACACAGATGTGTTCACACTCACACAATCTGAGCATACACATTTATAAAAAAAAGTCCTATGAAGTTCAGACTTCCTGCACCCATGACCATCATCTGATTTTTATGTAAATCTTTAATAATGTAAAAGTAGCCATTAATATTGAAATCCTTCCCACCATAACATAATGATGGGACAAAAGAACAGCACAAATCAACATCTCACACGGGTAGTGATAAATATTGTGGATGATTAGTCTACCTTACCAGCAAACAAGTGTCCATAACCAATGAATACCTGCTATCATAAACGTTTGAACAGAGCTGGTATTATCTTTGCTGTATAGGAACACTCTTCGAGCCAGTTCACAAAAATGCAAATTGGATGAGTTTTGAACAGCATCCAATTCGCATTATATGTGAAATAACATTGGTTTCTATTGTGCCTGTTCACATACTGTATATGTGGTGCAACTGGAATGCGCATTCAGTGTGAATTGAAAAAGAGTCCTGTCCATTTTCTGATAGTGTGGTCCTTCATATGTGCGAATTCAGGCTTACTGACTTCAATAGGAATGCTTCAAAATTGCACTTGTCATCAGCTGTGAACAGGATTTCAGCTCCTGTTCTGAATCGCATCTGAACCAGTCCTGGCTGTTATGCTAATCCAGCATCCTTAGTACTGTCTGTGTCACTGACCTGCAACAAGTATAGAGATCTGGAGTTTTGACTCAATTATTATTCCAGGCCAGCCAAGACATCCAGGCACCTGGTACTATTGGTAAGAGGTCAGCAATGGCTGGCCCTTTTATTTATCTTTGATAGTTTCCTTTAAAAACAGGAATTCCAGTGGATCACACTAGGAGTCTAAATGTCATCCATCGGGGGGCAGGGAGCCTGTGCTCCCCATAAGGGTTGGCTTTTTATTCGGGGGGCATGATGCCACGAGGCAGAGTCGGAAAGAAATCAGTAGCTGAGAATGTAATTAGTTTGGTAGAACAGACAGTGGCGTCAACTCCCCCAATCAGTAGCAGAGCGGGTATGCTATTATTCACTCATCTATATTTATTACAGTTTTTATGGCCAGAATAGCTATAATCAGTAACATCTAGAAAGGATGGTTTAATGAATTATACCTCTTTTGACAGCAGGTATTCCAGAGTCCCATTCTCCATTCCAGAAAGTGCATCGTTGTTGGGAACAAACACAGTATAAGGCCCATTCTTCTCTAAGTCAGGACCCAGGTTAGATTTCTATGAAAAAAATGCATATGACAGGCAATGTATCAATACTCTAATTACTGTCTGAAGGAGAAAGTAGAGAGGGAAAAACTCACCTCCAACAGAGACCTAAAACGATTGTATCTACCATTTTCTAGCAGGATTTCCATGATTGTCTCCTGGAAAAAAAAAAGGTAGCAGAATTAAAGGTAGGAAACTATACAGTATTTTTGACTTTTGCTGTTGATGAGCAGTTGTGGGCAAAAAAGGACTCAGTGGGAGATCTACTTATGTTTTGCCAACCTACAGGTGAAGTCCAGCAAGAAGATAAACTGACATACCATGTGACTGTTTTCCATTAACAACTGTGGTATTTCTAAAAAACTGCTGCTGTTTGAATGTGTTTTTCTCTTTAAAAATATATAAAGCACCTGGGTAGAAGAAGGCTGCTGAATCTCCAATGACTGGAAAATTTTAAGAAACAGAAGACGACGTGCAGAAAGAATTGAATCACAACATGAATGACAAAAATGAAGCAGAAGAAATTATATAAATGCAGTACAGATTCCTCTCCAGCAAGCAACCAAGTAGTGACAGTAGAGTGAGTAGTGAGACTAGTAGTCCCAGGCAGCAGTGCCCTAGGTACCCTCATGTACCAGGAATTGCATTTGTATTTTTCATGTGGAATTTAAGACAAAAGGTACATTTTCAGTTTACCATTTAGTATTACTTAATTAACATTTCCAGATGTTCCTTACAAAATAGCTAATCTTTACTTTTTCAAGTTCCAGTTCAAATTAAAGCATAGATAACTAAAATTATTCAAATTAAACAGATCAAACTGATGAACCTGTTTGGATGAAATACTTTAAAAAGACTAGATTTTTTTTAGTACACCAGGCATGTAAAAATATGATTACAAAATGAACCAACCTTTAATTAATTGAAAGCAGTTTTTTTAATTTTACAAATGATAGAAAAAGTTGTAAATAGTAAAGATAATTATAATAAATGAAAATTGGTTTATCAAGACTTTGACAAGACTGAGAAATGTAAGGCCTATTTTCTTCCATTATGCATTTGGTAATATTGAAGCCTTGACCATAATCTTACAGAAAACTTTTAACTTACTTTAGTGTTGCTTTCTAGAGTTGGCTCCACAAAATCCATAGCTTTATCAATAATATGTATGATTCCATTAGATGCCAATAAATTTTTTGCCAGAAATGTGCCTCTTTTTTTGCTTCCACGAATCCTTATTTTTAAATCACTATCCTAAAAGGCACAAAAATCAAAAATAGTAACTTTGATAGTGGAAAGCAACAAGCTGAAACAGGGAAAGGAAAAAAACAGAGTATAAAAGGAAACCTGCCCCAATGTTACCCTACCCCTAGACCCGCTACACTATATTTTGGGGCTACCCTTTGGGGGTATCGCTAAGCGATCTAAGAGGTTGAGAATACATATTGTGACGGCTGCTAGATGGGTGATACCACAACTCTGTAAACCAGTTGAGGTTCCCACGCTAAGTCATCTCTTAAGAGCAATCTCTGAAATCAGGGAAATGGAATATCTTACAGCTCTAGTGGGTGAATACTCAGGTCAGACTTTGGTAGACTTCCTTCCTCCCCCCCCCCCCCCATATAGTCCAGGCACCTCTTTATGTACCAAACCTCTAACAAATAATGTAACCCAAGGATGTGCAGGCATATGTCGTTTTGTGCCTTTGTATTGTGCAGTTTATTATGCTGTCTAATTATGTTCATATTTCTTCTGTTTTTGTTTTCTTTTATATTGATTGTGGTTTTCTTTTATTGCAATGTTTACACCTAAAGTGTTGTAACTCTGTTCTGAAAAAAAAGGGCTTTGGTCTTTAATAAAAATGTACAATATTAAAAAAAGGAAACCCGCCCTGTGAGTATGGGCTACCACTGATAGCCATCTTCTAAAAATTCTAGCTGCCTACCTGTGTCTGGCTGTCTCTAACCTGGAAACAGAAAACCAATTATAAAGCCAGAGTGCAGTCAGAACTCTTGATATACATGCTTGTTTCAGGTCAGCACTCTCCAGATATTGAAGCCATTGGATCAGCGTGACAGCTAGACAACTGATATTTTAAGAACGAGTGGTCAGCAATGACAGCAAACACACTATATTGCCCATAGTATTGGTCGGCCTGCCTTTACATGCACAAGAACTTTAATGGCATCCCAATCTTAGTCCGTAGGGTTCAATATTGAGTTGGCCCACCCTTTGTAACTATAACAGCTTCAACTCTTCTGGAAGGCTGTCCACAAGGTTTAGGAGCATGTCTATGGGAATGTTTGACCATTCTTCCAGAAGCGCATTTGTGAGGTCAGGCACTAATGTCGACCGAGAAGGCCTGGCTCACAGTCTCCACTCTTATTTATCCCAAAGGTGTTCTATGGGGTTGATGTCAGGACTCTGTGCAGGCCAGTCAAGTTCCGCCGCCCCAAACTCGCTCATCCATGTCTTCATGGAACTTGCTTTGTTCACTGGTGCGCAGTCATGTTGGAACAGGAAAGGGCCATCCCCAAACGGTTTCCACAAAGTTGGGAGCATGAAATTGGCCAAAATGTCTTGTTATGCTGATGCCTTAAAAGTTCCCTTCACTGGAACTAAGGGGCCAAGCCCAACCCACGAAAAACAAGCCCACACCATAATCCCCACCAAACTTTACACTTGGCACAATGCAGTCAGCCAAGTACTGTTCTCCTGGCAACCGCCAAACCCATACGCGTCCATCGGATTGCCAAAGAATCATAATTCGACTCTTTGCATTGCACATGATGATGTTAGACTTGGATGCAGCTGCTCGGCCATGGAAATCCATTCCATGAAGCTCTCTACGCACTGTTGTTGTGCTAATCTGAAGGCCACACGAAGTTTGGAGGTCTTTAGGTATTGACTCTGCAGACAGTTGGCAACTTCTGCGCACTGTGCACTTCACCATGTGCTCTGTCATTTTTCGTGGCTGAGTTGTTGTTGTTCCCAGTTGCTTCCATTTTGTTATAATACCACCAAGAGAGATCGTGGAATATTTAGTAGCAAGGAAATTTCACGGATGGACTTGTTGCACAGGTGGCAACCTATCACGGTACCACGCTTGAATTCACTGAGCTCCTGAGAGCGACCCATTCTTTCACAAATGTTTGCAGAAGCAATCTGCATGCCTAGGTGCTTGATTTTATACCAAACAAAAAGAAAAGAGCCACCTAATATGACACGTATATCCGTGTCAAAGTAATATCTCCATCTCACTTATAGTATAAATGTGGATTTATAAACCTAAAGTACATAATAGAACATATGGCAGTATGACAAGGGCAACACTGCCTACAAAAAGTGGTAATTGAAAATCCAAGCGGAGTAATATAACTGCATTCAATAGCTACAAAAATATTTTATTTGATCCCATGGATCATAAAGAGGTTGGACATGGACACGGTGAACAAATCATGATAAAATTACAAAAACATTCAGCGTCTTCAAATCTGGATAATTATCGTCAAGCAGGAATCCACATAAGGCAATGAAGTTTCCTAGCTACGTGATCATAGATTTCCATATGTTTCCACATTGTATCTAGATAGGGAGAACATTCTTCAAAGATATTTTTTGGTAAACACCACAATAAGTGGAATGACTTCCTATAATTCCATTACCTTCTCATGAGCTTGACCATCATGAAAAAATGATGAATGCAAGGCCTTCCTGGGTGACCACCCCAAGTGGAAATGAATCCACAATAGCAAGTGATTCATAAGTAGGATCAAGGAGACTTCACCTCACTTGAATAAGATCAGGTCTTTGTGTTTCCAATAATGAATATGGGGGTGGAGAGCCAGGTGGTCTTTGTATATAAAATCCAAGCTGATTGTAACAGGCAAAATATACCTGAATGTATATACCCAGTTTAGGGTTTCCAAAAATTACTCCTACTGAGAAATGATGCAGTTCCTTATAGATATATGAGACTACTATCGCTGACCACAGAACGTGTGTAGCATAATGTAAACATATTCCTCCAATAAGAGTTCAAAAATTCCCCAAAAACAAGGCTAATGGGCACATGGTTCCCAGTATGTGGAGTATGATCCCCGTATATAAATAGCAATAGAGGCTATCTAAGCCAAACAAGCTAATAACTTGCCACCGGTGGAAGTGAGCTGAGGCTCTAAGTCGCCATGTGCAGGCTGCTTAGGATGATAGCCTCATCGTGATCTTTAATGCCTCGTGCCTTTCCAATATGGAGCTGAAGCAAACTGTTTCTTCCCTCCTCGTGGGCACCGAACCCTATGAAGACGCCGAGCGTAATGATGTCATCACATTGACGCGTTTTGTCCGCCAATCACCGCAGACTTCGTCAGAACTGGGAGGGGACTTCTCTTCCATTGCCTTATATAGTGCCCCAATTGCATACAAAGTTGTTTATGTCGCCCTCTTGTGTTGAAGAACTATCACTACATTAAAATCCAAAATCACATAGAAAAACATATACTAAATGGTGACATTACAAGAAAAGCCTTATTCAAAAGAAGAAATCACCTTGAAAAAGAGGAATATGATACTTTAGACTCAGATGGCAGTGTGGGCATAGCCTCACCAAAGAAGTTTAATTCTTTTATTTAATTCAAGAAAACCTTAAAGTTAAGTTCTGTATTTAGTCCATGTGGGACTAACGTACCAAGAGTATATATCCAAAATTTTTCTTTTTGGAGGAGAACTTTATCAAAGTCACCCCGTCTAGCTGAAATATTTAACAGGAACATTCCCTTAACTTTCAGACCATCAATCCTTCCCCCATGTACCTCCTTAAAATGTAGGGCTAGCGGGTTTTCCTTCTCTCTTTCATTCCTATTCCTGTTTTCATTTTTAACATCTCTCAGATGTTCACCAATCCTAGTTCTAAGGGTTCTTTTGGTTTTCCCTATATATATTTTTTTACATGGACATTCTATCATATAGATTACTTTATTACTAGAACAGTTAATAAAGTTTCTTATTTGAAATACCTGGGATTCATCTGTGTTAAAAAACTGATTGGTCTTATGTACATATGGACAAATTTGGCAATGGCCACACGGAAACATGCCAGTTACACGAGTTTGCCTAGTTAACCAGTTTGTTTGGGGGACTCTTTGAAATTCTGACTGTACTAGAATATCATTCAAATTCTGGACTCTTTTTGCTACCATATGTGGACTTTCACCTACAATTTGTGCTATTCCTGGGTTTTGAGTTAATAAATGCCAATGTGAATCCAGAGCCCTCTTAACTTCCTTCCATTGTTGTCCAAATTTAGTTATAAACCTTACTGGTTGATTTGAAGATTCCTCCCCAGGTTTTGATTTTGATTTATTAATTAATTCATCTCTTGTTTTATAAGAGGCTCTTCGTTTGGCTCTTCTCAGAGTTCTATGTGAATACCCCCTTTCCCTAAACCTTTTATAGAGCTGAATAGATTCAGCTCTATATTGGGCATCATCAGTACAATTCCTTTTTAATTCTCTGAAATTGGCCAATGGGTATACCCTGTTTTAAACTTTCCGGATGGTAGCTGGTAGCATGTAAATGTGTATTTACTGCTGTTTCTTTTCTAACTGTTTTAGTGATTAATCTATTCTCATGTATTGAGATTGAAAGATCCAGGAATGAGATTACTTCACTGTCTAAAGTATATGTTAGTCTAATATTCCTATCATTATCATTTAGAAATCCAAGAAAGCTTTCCAGTTGATCCATATCCCCATCCCATACCATCAGGATGTCATCAATGTAACTCCATTTCACCACATGTTGAATAAAGGGAATAGATGGACATACCAAATCTTCTTCTCATAGGCCCAAATGAAGACATGCATAGGCCGGAGCCCAGGGTGCTCCCATGGAAGTACCACATATTTGTTTATAAAAGGCCCCCAGCAATTGAAAACAATTATGGGTCAGCATAAATTCCAAGAGGTCCAAGATGAATTCATTATGAACCTCCATTTCTGGGAAATGCATCTCCAGAAAAAAATGCTATAGCTCTCAAGCCCCAAACATGTGGGATAGAGGTATATAGCGATTCAACATCTATACCCACTAAAAGTGCTCCCTCTGGTACCTTAAAATTTCCAATTTT